GGCACACAAGGCATTGGCCAGCGCAAGGCCCCACCTAGGCAAGTGGCAAACCACCATCTTAAAATTTGGTCACAACCACAAAACATTAACTTAGCCACAAATATCAAGCTTTTCATTAGAAGCAAATCTGGAATATGACGTGAACTCCAATCATAAGGGGCTATGATGCACAAATACTTCAAAGGGTGCAAGATTAATTGAATAGTTTACAATCATATGTCGTCATCATCATCTTCAAAGCCTTAACCTAACTAACTGGGGTCGGCTACACCAATCCTGGTCTGCCATTCTGCTCTATTAAGGATCGTACTCTCAGTGGGGCCATAAGTTCTCATATATGTTTTCTCACTACTTCCAGCCATGCCATTTTGGACTACTCCTTGCCCTTTTTGAGCATTCCACGTGAACTAACTCGCACCTCTTAACAAGTGTTGTACTGGTCCTACGCCACATGGCCAACTCACCCAAGTCTACTTTCTCTTATCGTCTATTGATGCTACACCTAAATTATCCCAAATGTATTCATTTTGAATTCTATCTGTTCTTGTCTTGCTACACATCCTCATCTTAGCTACACTTATTCTATGAGTTTGTTGTTTTTTTACCACCCAACATTCCTCCCCATAAAGTAAAGCTAGTGTCACAACTGTCCTATAGAACTTGCCTTTCAGCTTCATTAGTATGTGGTGATCACATAAAACTCCAGTCGCACATCTCCACTTTACAAGCATATGTAAAACACCAAATATTAGTGCATTAGTTTGTATACATGCATCATATATGGGAGGCAAAGGACCATGCACCCAGGGGGACTCATGACCCGCTTTTGTGGACATAGGACCCACCCAGCCATATCAAGAACAAAATTCTCCACAAGGACTTGGTTCAAGACTAAGCACAAACAAAACTGCCATAATCAGTGTGTCAGTTACACCTTCCCCTACTAAACCAGTTCATTTAAAATACCTACATAGTTCACTTACTATTCCCAATAAATTTGAACAGGTTTTTATGACCTAGGAAAAAGTTTATATAGAGCCGAGGCTCTAAACAATCAAATTAGAGCCTACCTCAAACATTTCACAAGAATAGGTTGTTTTAATGCCCATATACCCTCAAATCGATCATCTCGACATCATGATGCATGGACATGAGAAAAAAAATGGATTTCAAGTTTTGGAAATAGTGCATCTTGTAACACATTTTTAGATCGTCAATTTTCAAGATTTTCAAGTTTTTATAGATCTTATTGATCTACACTATTTTTGAAGCTTTAAATTTTATATAATTAGAGATAAAAATATATTTTAAGGCTATCACAAGGATTTTGAATGTTGAAAGCACATTTCTCGACACTATTTAAAGGTGAGCTCTACTTTGATTGTTTAGAGCCTCGGCTCTATGCAAACTGCAGAAGCCTACAATTACCATCACAAGGAAAGTCTAGACTGAAGTAGACTCAAGGGAATCACACAAGGCATAAAAATTTAAAAACTTCTTACACAAACATTCATTTCACCTTGGGAAAAGTCCTTGATAAATTGAGCATTGCTTTTTACAGCTCGAATAAAAGTGTACCAAAATAGAGATAAAAGAAACAAAGTCCATGAGGTTAAAGTATCGGATAGGAAGCCCATTTCCTAGAGATCACCGTTTGAATACCACAATGACATACATACAACCCTTGACTATCATTCACTCTTGATAGTGCAATAAGGGTCGGATTTTTTATCTAATCTTGGGAAGCGAATAAATCAACACATGATTGAATGTCTTTCACAAAAAGGGAGATCATAATAAGGTTATCAAGGACTTGGGACCACAGAGCCAAAATAGGTACAAAAACGGACTTCAAACAAGCTCCAAATGGTGTAGTCTTGGTACAAAACTTAGATGCAAGTTTCCACACCCCTATGGGGTCAATGGGAGTGAGCTACGTGCATGAAACAAACTTACTGCTCACTGTTATGCACTATTTCAATGCATTTCCAGCAGCATGAAAAGGCATCACAGTTGGCATTAAGTACTATGAAAAAGGCACCATCTAAATGCACAAGCTTGAAGGAGTATTAAAGACTATTAACCAAAACTATACAAGACAGGATGAGAGCATTTACCTTACTGTGTTGTTAATAATTTCCAACAGCATAAAGTGTCAAAACAGTAGCTCCCAATAAATGAGAATGGTGTGGGAGAGTTATAATGGACACACTTTGGTGCATCAAGGAAGGGGAGCTACTAACATGAAGGCAACAAAGAAGAGAGAGAGCAATGACGTGGGGCGTGAGGATTTGGAGAGGAAGATTTAGGTGGTTCAACACAAAAGCATTCAAGTGTAAATTGAATGAGAGACTCCTAATAAATGAGAATGGAGTGGGAGAGTTACGATGGACTTTCAACTAGAGTGAAAGGGGTGCATCAAGGAAGGGAAGCAATAACATGAAGGAAACAAGGAAGAGAGAGAGCAAGGACGTAAGGCATGAGGATATGGAGAGGAAGAAGTAGGCGGTTCAACACGAAGGCATTCAAGTTCAAATTGAATGAGAGAGGGGTCCTATTTATAGGCATTTCATGTGAGATGCAAATACTAGATTAGATCTCATCCACCCATATGATTCAAAGGTTGAGACGCTAAAAACCTAGCCTAGCCAATCACCATTGATGGCTATCACATGGATGGTGATATTGAACACACCCTTATCACCATACCCACATACCACCTCCACACACTTCCAATAATTTCATATGTGTGCTTGAACCCTAATTTTCAAAACCATTCCATTACAACTATTGATTTTATAAACATGATATCTCCATCATTGATAAAATATCTTCCTCATCAAGTTTAAATGGAGGTGGCTGCCACCCATTTGGTTCATTAAATATGAACCTTCCTCCTCACTTAACCTTAATGAAAGATCACTTTCAGTGGGGGAGGGGGGGGGGGACATGACATCACCTTATGTCATGGCTTGTCCCCTTATCCCCTTCCCACCAATGAGAACACTTCATTTTTAGATTTCTAAAGGATAACCCAATCAAATAATTAAGTGATAAAATGATTTAAGAAAAATGGAATTTCTACATTCTCGCATGTAAACTCACACGTCTCCACACATGTGCTTCACACATGTGCCATAAAACATATTATACATAACAAGGTTATATGATATTTCCATGCCTAAGGTTAAGGATTCCATGTCATGCCCATTGGGCAATGACATAGCGCCCCATTGGATGCACATGTGGCACACATTGGCCATTTGTGTGCCACACACGCCACATATGCGGGTCTCCTTAATTTGAATTTATACACAACAAATTTGTTAAGTGTTTTTTTCATGAAATAAAATTTTCAAAAATCATCTAAAACCATGATAAATCATTTTCCATCATTTCTTATTAAAACATTATGGTCTAGCACATCTAATGAATCCAGTGTTGAAAAACCCGGTTCTACATGTGGTTGGGCTGCAAGGTACTCCGCTGGGTTAGACTCAAAAACCCAATCCAATTTCTTAGACCAACCCAATAGGCCCCTCTGCATCACAGACTTCTGTCCATCATGGTTAGCCTCACATTCCAACAGATCACCTTGCATGTCCCCACAAGAACTTCCCAGATCCACGAAGGGACCCCCAAGGATGGTGGACCCTACACGTCCTAGTTTGCTTCAGGACATCCTCCAAGAAGGCACCCCAAGGTGAAAAACGACATAGATAAGGCAAACAACGCACAAACAAGAAAACTAGAGAGAAAGCAGCATTCTGCTGCATTGGTTTTAAATTTCCTTTCCTGAATTGTTACATTTAAGCAACCCAAACTTATTGCGATTGGGAGAGAAGGGAGAGATAGAGAGTAATATTCAAGCACAAGATAAAGTAAATACATATGTTTTTCACAGACTACAAATCGTAGGGCAATGTGCCCTATACATACACAGATTCCTATCTACTTACAGTATGGGTAGGTCAACATGCAAAAGAATTACAACCATTACAGCAGGAGTTACAATAACTATTACAGCAGGTTCTAATGGGTATGAGGTCCATTAATCATAAGAGTTGCATGTTTTAATGGGTGTGAGCCCATAACAGCCACTTCATGAGTCCCATTATACATGGGAATTAAGTTGTTACACAGTTTTTAATAAGCATGAGCCCATAACAGTTGCTACATTATTAAATAAATTTAAAGTTAACCAACCAATGACCATATAGAATTAATAAATACAGTATCGATGCAATGCACATTGGATGGAAGAGAGAAAAACTTTCTCCATTCAAAAGATTAAAATACCATAACCCAGACAACACCCCTTATTCATAAAACAATCAACTCGGGATTGTGGCTCTAACAAATATTGAGTGTATTTCCTCACAAAGTTGAAATCCCAACTCAAGCTGACCTTTGCAACAGAATAATGACAGGCAAAGTTGGTATCCAACTCATTCACACATTCAGATCCATATGCCCATCTACCGGATTTCATTATACCAATAAAGCATGTATGTGTGTTAGTATGTGTGAGGTCACATGCCCATGTATTGCCTTTGTCCCCCCCTCCCCCCCCCCCGCCCCTGCCCCCACCCCCCGGTAACGAGTTCCTTTTTTCAAGTCAATAGTACTAGTGGCACAAAACTTACCCAACTTCCGGGAAACTGGAAGGATATAAGCTCCATATGCTCTATCACCAGCAACCGGAATATCTGAAGCCTCAAATCTCACTCCAAAGTTGGGCTTAGCTTTGAGACCCGCTTTTTTAATCAATCGGATAAATCTCCAGAGATGCTCCTCAGATATTCTCAGAGAACCAGCATTTAGCTCCACTGTGTCAAACCCCAAATTCTTGCATTCCTGTGAAGATGAACACATGGACATACATGCCAAATAGTGAAATGAGAAAGAGACTGTCACAATAAAATCACCCAATGCGCATAAGTAGTAAAGTGATGTGTTGTTTATATCAACTTCATAGATAAGCAATAGCAATGTGCTTACGTGAACATACTCTTCAAAAGCTGTGGGTCCCTTGCGAAGTATGTGTTCTGCCCAATCACCAGTACTCACATAAACATCGTGGCTGTGTGCCAGCTCAGTTATTTTTTTAATCGCATTCTTTGCCATTAAACTGTGCGAGCCCTCAGAAAACTTCAAGCCATCAACAAACTGCCCCATAGACTCTAAAATATCCTGGAAGTGATACAAGCACGACATGTTAATGATGAATTCCCTAGAAAGATGAAAAACACCAGTAGAATCTGCAGTTCTGCACTCAATAAAGACACCAAAACTAAACAAACAGAACTGAAAAAAACCAAGTAGGCAGCAACTCCAGCTTGTCATGTAAAAGCAAAACACAGTTCCTCAAAAAGAACTAAAGTCTTTTGGAAGAATAGTACCACAGATCTTATTAAATGGGAAGAAACGTTTTGAATTTTTCATCAAGAACAGGTTATATAATCATCAAACAATTAGCACGTCTAAAATATTTTCATGATTAATGTGACAAAATTCCCTCAACTGCATAAATTTGAAAACATCACTTAGATTTCAAGTTTAGCAGTTTATCTTCTGAATTTAAGCCTAGAATTCATGTACATTGGCTCAAATGAGGCATTCTTCAGGTTTCTTCAATCATTGTTTCTGTTGTATGGTGTGATTCAGTGTCATTGATTTCAGGCCATTTATTAAGGGTAAGAAGGTTGAAAGAAAAGCATGGTATGAGCCCAGCCCAGTCCATGAAGGTTTTGAAGGATTTATCCCTCCCCATGGCAATGAAGTCATGCATCTTTTAAACTGAAATAAGGAAACAGTCCAGAAGTCCTATAATAGTTTCTCTGCCCTGTAGTAAATATCGATGATTAAAGGAAAGATTTGCTAAGCTTTAAATGAGAAAACCCTTTAAATCAAAGAACATGGCGAATACCATGGAGTGATTGGTTAAAGAGGATGCAATCGAAGGGCATGCGGGATTAACATGGGAGATGCTTGTAGAGGCATCAGGTAGAGCAGACAACCCTCTTGGGCCCACTAAATCATGTTCAGAGAGGAGGCGGATGGAGGAAGAGGAGGCAGATGCTAAAGAAACAAAAAGACGAGCGTAATGTTGAATAGGGAGATGATTCTGATGATGGACTCAACGCTGATGCATATGATGAGGTTGGCCCCACTTTTCATGATGATTATTGAAAAGTCTCAAGTCTTCAAGTCTAGACTTTTTCTTCTTATTTCCTCCTCTTATGTCTATGGATTATGGGATGGGATGGGCTATGGAGTATGGACTATTGATTATGGATTGTGGCTCTATCGTATTTCAGCTTGTGCTAGTGAGTTGGTTTAAGGGGCCATCACTTGGAGTGACGGTACAAGGCTCGGGTAGCCAGCGCAAGATCGCGGGTTCGAGTCCTGAGGGTGGCCACTTTGTGCGTAAGCAACTGTTTCCAGCCCACCCCTCCCGAAACCCTGCTTAGGCGTGACTAGTCTGGGTTACGGCCAGTGAGTTGGTTTCGATTGTGGGATTTTGATATTTTATGATGTGTTAATGTGTTTAGATTGTGGGATTTTGATATTTTATGATGTGTTAATGTGTTATTGTCATCTACTCATATTTGTGTTAAATGTGTATGGCAGTATGGTACTATGGCTTATGTTTATAGAACGTGGAATGAGTTCATTGAGTGTATGGATTTACTATGGTTTGGTAACTACGGATTATGTATCATGTGTATGGAACTATAGAATGGAATGGTATAGAACCATGGACTTAAAGTTATGGATCAGTATGGATTATGGTTAGGTTAATTGGTTATGGATTGTTAATTTTCTGTATTATCATAGTACATTGATTTAAATTTGGCATGATTCCACATAAAAAGGCATAAAAAAAATGCCTCAATATGCATTTTGTATGCAAAATTTGGATCTAAAACAGGATCCCCTAGACACCCCATCCACCCAGTTGAACCTATGTTTCCTAGATCCAAGAAGCCTGCCTTGGTACTTTGTTGCCAAGACCCCATGGCTGCCTGGGCGCCGCCCGCCGCTTTTGTGAACACCAATGTTTCAAAAAACGGTCCACCCGGCTCCTAAGTGCCCGCCTAGGCGGCCAAAAAAAAATTTCCGCACACCTCGACCCAAGCGCCCCTACACGGGCGCTTGTACCTGGGCCGGCGCCCAGGGCTGTGGGGCGTTTTATTGTATTTAATTTCGCCCAAAAGGGCAAAAGGGGCCATTTTGAACCCCAAGTTTGTATAAAAAAAGTTTTAGGGTTTATTTTTGAACCCTAAAGTGAAACAAAACAAGAATGCCGCAATCTTAAACTTATTTATGAGAATCTAAAGTAATTTTTTAGAATCGAAAATACTTTTTGTGGATTAAAAAAGTTTTTTTTTTCTCATTGCAATTATTTTTAGGGTGTTATTGGTGGCATTAGAAGACTTTTGAGTTGATTCGTAGCTAGATTGAGGTAACCAACATCGAAGATCAGAGATTGGGGAGAAAAGGTCAGTCTGTAATCTTTATTTGAGTTTAATTTTTCCAATTTGAGATGTCTTCTGCGGGGTCTAATAGGGGTGGAGATCTTGTATTAATCCAAATAAGAATGACAAAAATAAAATTATGTGCAATTTTTGTGGACATGTTTCTAATGCCGACATAAATAGATTTAAGAAACATCTTGCCGTTATTAGAGGTGATGTTGCCCCATGTAAGAAAGTCACAGATATTGTAAAGAAAGAAATTTTGGAATACATTGAAGGTGAAAAGAGTAAAAAAATTGCAAAAGAAAAAGGATATAACAGAATTAAAGTCAGGGGTCCATATTTTTTATGATAATATTGACACTGAAGAAGATGATGAAGAGGGGGAAGAAGAGGTAGCCCTGGTTGGTACTCAGAGCTCTAAGACTAAGAGGGCTTTTGGGTCTAAGAAGGCTCGTACGAGAGGGCCTATAGATAATTTTTTTACACCTAGCCTTGAGACAGTAATTGAGAAAGGCAAGGGAGGAAAGGGAAAAAATACAAGTGATAATTGAAAATAGATTTAAGAAGGAAGATAGAGTCAGGTTGATTCAGTATATTGCTCGGTGGTTTTACCATGCTGGCATTTCTTTTAACACTGCTCGCTTGAATAGCTTCCATACAATGTTGGAAGCAATTAGGCAATTTGGGTCAGGTTTGAAAGCTCCCACTCCTTATGAGATTGGAGAGTCACTACTAAAGAAAGAAGTCGAGTACACTAACAAATATCTCAAGACTCATAAGGAAGGATGGGCTCAATTTAGGGTTTCTTTAATGACAGATATGTGGAGTGATAGGAGGAAGATGAGTAATATGAATTTCTTAGTAAATTGTCCCACGGGTACAGTTTTTTTGCGCTCAATCGATGCTTCCAATCAAATTCATGATGTGCATTATATATTTTCTTTCATTGATAAGGGCATCGAAGATGTTCGGGAAGAAATTGTAATTCAAGTAGTCACAGATAATGCTGCTCCCAATCTAGCTGCAAGCCATTTGCTTCGACAGAAGAGGCCTCGCATATTTTGGACTCCTTGCGTTGCACATTGCGTAGATCTTGTGCTTGAGGCAATTGGTGAATTGCCTACTATTAAAGGAATTATTTTTAAGGCTAAGGAGGTTACAGTCTTCATATACAGTCACATACTTACCTCTAGCATGATGCGCAAGTTTACAAAAAAGAGAGAGCTAGTGAGGCCTGGGGTCACTAGATTTGCCACTGTCTACCTTAGTCTACAGAACCTGTATGAGAGGAGGATCGCATTAACATCTATGTTTGCTTCAGAGGAGTGGAGTAGATGTAAGTAGTCTAAAGATGCCAAGAGAAAGAAGGCACGAGATATTGTTGTTTTGAAATATTTTTGACGTGGGGTAAAGCATGCGATATTAGTATTTCTTCCCTTGATGAAGGTCTTACGCTTGGTTGATGCTGATAAGCCCTCCATGGGCTTTATATATGATGCAATGGAAAGGGCTAAGAATGAGATTGCAGATAATTTGAGAAATAATGCAGCCAAGTATGCCCAATTTGAGAGATTATAGATGACAAATGGGATAAGCAGCTCCATAGACCATTGCATGCAGCAGGGTACTACTTGAACCCCAAATTATTTTATGCAGATGCAGATATTGAGTCAAAAGGGGTAATTATGGATGGTTTTAATGAGTGCCTTGACAAATTAGTTCCTGATCCACATATCCAAGATAAGATATCAACTGAAGAGTAAATTTCGTACAAATACTCTTTGATGTCATTTGGGAAAGATATGCATTAAGACAGAGAAACAAAAACGAACCAAGTAGTATTCTTTTGACTTTTGTTTTATAAAATATAAATTTATAATTTTCTTTCAAGTTTTTATAATGTTAAATACCTAAATTAATTATAAAAGTTGCCCACATATTGTAGCCCAATGGTGGAGACAACATCGCTCCAAACCTCCAGAAGATGGCTATACGGATCTTGAGTTTGACAACTACCTCTTCTGGTTGTGAGCGCAATTAGAGTTCTTTTGAGATGGTATTTTACTATTTTACAATTTTATATGCTTTTTTTATTTATATGTTCGTTTTGTAATATAGATTCATAAAAGGTAAGAAGATCATAGACTCATCGTAGTTACTTATGCATTATTTTTCCTTATAGGTGCATACAAAGAGAGGAAATAAGTTTGAGCAAAAGAAGCTCAATGACTTGGTTTTTGTTAGAGAGAATCAAAGGCTCAAGGAGAAGAAAAACCAGCCAAAGAAGGACCCTATCTCTTCAAAAGACATGGAGAATGCTTCAGATTGGTTAGTTAGTGACCTTGGTACTAAGGAGGTCTTCCTTGGGGAGGGTTTGAGTTGGGAAATGGTCAAGGAGGCTTCGGGGCCAGCTTCTGATCCTAGGAGGGCCACTCGAGCAACTTCTTCTGTACTTCACGTAGGGAGATAGAGGAAGAGAAGGCAAATTCAGAAGAATCTCTGGAAGAAGAGGTATATGTTGAAGAGGGCGATGATTATGATGATGAAGGCCTCAATTCTGATGCAGATGAAAGCAATGAAGATGATTATTGATTCTGATTCTTATTGATGTCTTGATTGTCTTCTCTCTTCTTTTGTAGTAACTAACTTTATTGCACCATCTTGGTTTGGGCTTTAAACATTTGGACGATTTTTATTTTGTTGTGATTT